ACGCACCTCAAGTCAGTGAAGTTATGGGATCCTAATTCAGCCCGACCTTACCTTGGTGAAGGTTATGATGTGCTGTGCCTCGGCGAAGGTGCACTTCTAACTCCCTTTGTCTGTCACGACGACGACTTCCATTTGTGCAGATTTGCAATAGGTCTTGGGGCTCCATCGGCGTTCACTGCGGTGATCATTCTAAATGTGGCTGACTACCAGGGCTCCAGTGGTGATGTTGAGGTGACCTCACAATGTAGTCACCGTCCAGGCGTATTCTAGCGTCTGTCCCCTAACCTACCTCACTATAAAAAACAACAGATTATTCATAATCAATTCTATTACAGACCCTTTCAATGCCAGCGCTCATGGCTTCCGCGACCACAGATTACGTTTCAAAGGGAAGTGGATAGAATTGTCATTAGCACAATCAGTATATCATTTTAGTTATCAACGCAATATGAGAGATGATGTGGCATTGCCCAATATGATTATGATACCTTGTAATACACGGTACCAAAAACTAATAGGCATTTATCATGTGAATCCCATCAGGTAGGTCCAACAATCCCATTCATGTCTCCAATTTAATTAATTTGTCGGATAAGATTAATGAAAAGAAGACGATTAGAAAATCAAGGACCAGGAAACGAAAATATATCAATTTAGAAGTGCAGTCAATCGGGCGATTCCAGCACACACAGCCACCTTCCCCTAATGTGCACTGTTGCTAATACTGACTACCTTATTTCTTGCCGTGTGCAGTTTTAAAAATACTAATTTGTCGCATAAGGGATATCCAAGGGACAAAAATTAGCATTCCCTACAGTTGCTTTTGCGCAGTTACGCATCCAGTTACTTTTAAAAAAACTGCACATAGGTACAGAGTTGCCCTCTCTGAATATGCAGTTATGTTCTGAGCAAAATCAATGGTGACTCTGGATCAACAGTTGACTAATAGTTGCTCGATGGAGAAAAGTGACAAACAACAAATATCATGGTGACCAAAAAATGATATAGAAAAAAACTCGCAAAAGCGAGAGCAAATTTTGCACTGCAGCTGATGAAATAGGTTCC